AAAAAAAACCTCATACAGTGTAAATGATGCGTTCTTGTTGTGGCTGTTGCAGCTCATTGCTGGGAGCAGCCTCCGTTTGCATTAAGGTGCGAACAAGCCGATCCGAACAATTTTTATTCGGCAATAATTTATAGGAGCAAAAATCTGCGTTATATACAATACATAAGGCGAAACAAATGCCAACGTCACAGCCTAATTGAGCAGAATTTGCATATTCTCAGTTTGCTATAACGCTAAGGCAAGCGACCCAGCTTCGTTTCCTGGCCAACGTACTACGCCGCGGAAGCTTTTTCGTTAAGAACTGCACCGACGAGGTTGTGGAGTGGAACATGCAAGGATCCACAAAGCTTTTATTTCGGATCGGTGTACCAAAGTTTGTCGAAAACTTTGTGGTAGATTTGATTCTAAGTAGATGAATGTACAGCTGAAAGCGGCTTACACTTGGCTGCACGATCATCGCTACACCATGAAATAAGGCACTTCTGAGGAAATTTGAAGGTATAAGAAGCCAGGCTAAAGCACTGAGCCAAATCTTCCTCTACCATTTCGAATAAAACTGGACCAAGGCCGATGGAAAGTCAAATATCAAGCTTAATAACGACATCTTGGTCTTGATCCGTCCTATACAATTACAAAAGCACTTCTACAACTTCATTTTTTTGAAAAATTCAGTGCTTCTCTCTCCAGGTTTTCTCTGAGATTTCCTCCCTCGTAGCAGTGAGGTGAAAATTCTGCACCTCGTCCAGCTGGTAGGTTGAGTGAAAGAGTGATTAGCTAATCTGTCGGTTCAGATTTGCTCTTTTCTTTGGATTTTGAGTAAATTCTGTTCATCGATACCGGGTTTGGGGATTCAGAAATTTCATCTAATTTTGTCTTAAAACTTGGAAGTCATAATTATTTACCTAACATGGCAAACAAATTTTGTTTTGATACCTTTCCTATTTCGAAGAGGCAAGTTTTCAAACCAAGGCCGGTTTGTTAGTTTGTTAATTACAACTAGAACTAGTTAATTACAAATATTCCAACAGCTGATGAAATAAGATGATTTATTCCATACGGCGATAAGCTTGATCTGAAGTCAAAAATGTCAAAAATTCAAAAACACCGTCTTATTTGCCCTCTACGAGAGGCTACGAAAATCGAGAAATGCCAACAGAAATCATTGGCTAACAAGACTGTCGATAGCTTCTAGAAGGTCGCTTACAGGCAAGCTATTGGCGGGAATCAAAATGAAAAATAAAACAAAATGAGTGAAAAAATGCAGCTAATTATCGAGAAACTGAGGCTAATGGCAGGCCTGGGCGCAGAGTTGCACAGATCGCGATCGTTGCAGCAGCAGAACATCACTTTGGTGCCAAATAGCTCTTGCTCAACACACTTGTTCTTATTCAACTGCAAATTTATTTCAATTACTGAAATGACACACTTTTGATTAGCTCTTTTGAAGCTACTCATACTCCAGACTTCAGGACACAAGAAGTCCAGGACGGATAATGAAATACCGCACATAAGTTGGAATTCATTCTTTTTTTTTTCTGAAAGCCTCTTAATTTTCCCTTAGAATGTCGTTTTCTCTTTTTTCTGATCACTTTTTTCCCCGGAAAAATTCTTCTTCTCTTCCACTGTATTCTAACTCTGCTCTTGCAAATTAGTTACATGTAGATTCAGCTGATAGCGGTTAAGAGGCTGTATTGATGATCGCCGCTGTTATTTCGCACTTTCTCAGTTAGTGCATGTAATGTCCTTCTTCAAAAACCGTCTGAGTGGTCGTTTTGCGTTTTCACGGGCGACATTTATTAATACATGACGATCATCGATTGTCTTCAAGACGAAAAACATGCCCTGCCTGGTGGATTTCACATTTTTTCTCGACAACAACCTGCAGGTCTATCATCTTACCCACCCCTTTCGATAACCTTTAGCATTTTTAAACTGCACCAACGACGTCAATAAGTCGGAAATTCTCAAAATCGGACTCAAAATCGGACTTCTTCAGATTTTTAAATTAAATTTTTGCAGAAGTTTTCTGAAACTTGATTTTTACCCGCTACTTCAATCTGCTAACTCGAATATATGACTTGCTGCGGATGCGAGAGCGCAATACCGAAGTCGATGGCGCAGTTGTCATTAGATGGTCATCACTGGGAAATGTCCCGAATAAGAATCAGTAGTGAATTAGTAACTTTTTCAAGTATTCAAATTCAGGTCATTATGCAAAGCAGTAAAATTAGTTTTAAACTTACGTAGCAACGTATAGTTGAGCAACCGGCCTTTTTAACGGTGCTTAACAAATTCACATCGGCCATAGCTCGATAGCACGAATCAGTATCCTTGCTACAAACTTCTTTTGTCGTACCAACTGTTTGACCACGTATCACTGAGAAACCCGTATAGCATTCCAGTGAATAAACAATATTCCAGAGTGATGCACAGAGCAGTGAAAATGTAATTATTAACATTATAACAGAAAATTACCGCAGGCCTGAAATAAGCATTTTAGGGCGTGATAAAGGGCAGAACGTTAGCTTCGCATAAAATGCATTTTCATAAAAAGTGAGGAAAAACTTCTGGCAGAAACTGTTTCGAAAGAACGGCTGAGGGAATGATGCTTTGCCGGCATTGAACATGGGCGTTGGTGCTCATGTAACTAATACAGGTGATGATTCTAGGAACAAGTCAGCAACATGAATGATCATCAGAGGCAGTGATGCATCCAGGAAATTTTTTAAGGTGGAAAAATGCAACCAGCTGCAAAAGGCTTATCGACCATCTGTTTCACATGATAAATGACTTTTAGCTCAAATTTGATAACCTATTAAATATGAAAAATGATCAAGCTCCTGAATCTAATAAGTGAACAAGTTTATAAATCGATAAACGATTTATGTTTTCGAATTTGATAAATGATTCAATTTTTACGTCTGAAAAATAATTAAATTTTTAAATTCTATGAGTGCTTGGTTAAGATTTTAAATTAGATAAATGATTGTGTTTTAGAATTTGACAAATAATTAAGTTTATAGGTCTGATAAATTAAGGAATCAAATTTAATAAATGGAAAAGTTTTCGAATTTGACAAGTTGATTCGCCAAGATGACTTCAGATGTTATTTCACGTACTTCCGCTACAAACTCGTCTAGCAAAACAGTCCTCCTTTCTCTTCATACGCTTTCCTTCCTCTTTTTTCTCGCTACGGATTTTGCCTTTTTCGTTCAGGAGTAAAACGTGGGTACGTAGCATTTCATTGATATGGCCTCTCCTATGCTCATTCGCTTCCTCCTCCTTTTACACTTCATTAATTGATCTTAAGTTTTTCAAAAAGTCTCTTTAACACATCGAGAAATACATTTGTTTTTGTTATATATATGACTCAATGGACCGAAACATTCCTCTTTAGCTACTTATTCTTTTTCTCTGCCAGACTATATAATTATAAATTTTTTAATAAACTCTTCCCACTATTTTCTTTTATTTAAACTTCGCCTAAAAAAAATCAATGTTCCAAAAAACGATGCCCAACTAACAGTGACAGAAATTCGCCGAAACACCAAAAGACAGGGGTAGCTGTGAATGGGTGCAGCAGGTGCTCGGGCAGAAGAAAATTCAATCATTACAGCAACATTTGCTGACTGATCTGTTTACTGCCACGGTTCCATTAAAAGTACAAATTCGGTCCATTTTTTATTTGACAAATTTTAATGAATGAGCATAAGATTACTTGCACTTTAGGCAGAAATAAAAAATTTAGGCTTGGCCGGACAACGAGACACAACGAACCAAGGAACGACTCATAGGAAAACAAGTATCAGCTGGATTCAACACACTGTGATAAAAATAACAATGATAATACCTCTATGAAATATGAAAATATATTAAAAATAATCAGAGAAGCAGGAATGTTCCGGTCCATCAAGTCGCATACATTTCTGTAAACAGCCACAACTGGACCTCACCAGCACGACGGTTATGATGTTGTTATGAGTGTAAAGGGTATCAAATAAAACACTGCAAAATTGATTTGATGAAAAACATAACAGAGGCAATATATGTAAATGCCAAAAAAAAGTTCCGATAGTCAAATGGCAACGGCATAGAGAAAAAGACAAATCGTACTGTCGAGTAGCACCTATTGTATCAAAATTGATACAATTTTTCAGTAACCGCGAGATCGATCGTTTAAGAAACAACTATAAACGCATGCCTTTCTGGAACCCAGAACACAGACCAAGAACTATATGTGTATGCTTATGGATGAACAATTTGTTGAGTGCAGACCAAGAATTATATTTTCCCGAGATTTCGTTTTTTTTTTTTGCGAAAAGTAATAGGATCTAGCGATCAAATTTTTGAAACTACTGAAGATCGATCCGAAATCCACTGAACTACACATCTGACTACATCCACAAGCCCAAGTGACAAGACTATAATAAAAACTCTACTTCCGCATTGCTACCAGAGGTTTCTGCATTCGAAGGTTGTTTGAGGATAAAGCTGAAAGTGATGAGCGAACATTTAGCGCAAAAGCAACAGAGAACAATTGGAGAACACGTGCACATTCCAGCTACCGAGGCAACAACAGGCAAAATGACAGGTGGCTGCAGTCTGACTTCATGCTTATTTTTTCGTTTTTTATCGAAAAAAGCAGAAAAGTTATAAAAATTCTTATTCATTTTTTTTTATTTTCGAAATGAGGCGGGCCCGTACGCGGGTACCACGCTAAACCGGAAGTTGGGTTTAAGCTCATCAGTACCTACTTGGACGGGGAATATTCTCTTAAAATTTTAGCTCACTGGCGTTTCTGTTTGCGAGCTAGCAGCTTATCCGTAGCTTAGATTAAAAAAACTTGCCCCGTTCACTCGCCCTTAAACCATTCGGAAGCTGTCGGGGAGACGAAATTTTTTTACTCAGAAAAAATCCTAAATTTTTGATTCTGCAATATGAATGTTATTCATTAGTCAGGGTGCTCACTATAAAGTAAATAACCACTCGGGTGACCCGTGGACAGGTAGCGCCCTCGAGTTGCACACGTCTGTTTTTGGTTCTTACCATAGAAGAAGTGGTAAGAACCAAAAACAGACGTGTGCAACTCAAGGTCGAAACGGTATTAAATGCTAACAGCTGACAATAACTGTGCCCGATGTGTGAGCTCGTCCGAGCAAAATCACTAAAATGGGTTATCCACAATGATTGCCCAGGCGATTTTAATATGCTTGATATGTCATGGGCAAGCTGATAACAAATAAGAAGAAATATGGAGAAACTGTTAGAAACATATCCGACTTTAAGGAATGATGACATATACTAAGTAAACAAGCGCATTTGTTGCTTCGTTTGATAATCCAAAAAACATCATTTTCGAAAAGCACTGATAACAAGTTTCCCTGGAAAGGAACTGGTTCCTTCTCAGCACATTCGAAAAACGGGATAACTTGTTTAATAATCTTGCAAGCAAAAATGATGCTGGAAAGCACCGAGCCCCTTCCGGGTGTGAATCAGCAGAGTATTTAGGAGTGTTAAATGCTAACAGCTGGCAGCATGCTTAAATATTATAGCCCTTCGACGCCCATTATACAGATGTACAACAATTTCCCGACAGGCATAAGTCGTGAAAGATAGAACTTTCAATAACACTTTTTTCAACTTACCTGTGCATGCATTCCCTTATGACTTAATGGACCGAAACATTCCTTTTCAGTCACTTCCACACTCCCTCTCCTTACTATGCTGTATAGAAATGCGGTAAATTGATTTCTCACATAATCTTACTATTGTCCCTCACATCACCTTTTATCCTAGTAACATCGCTAACATTAGTTCCCCACACGACTGCCCGGGCACTGTTATTATTCTTGGCAAAACCACAGCAAAAATCACAGATGATTTTTTTAAGGCAAAAGCTGAAAAGTATTTCGATATGCATGAACCGTAATTTCTCGGACTCTCTTGGCTTTGAAGTGTATACCTCAAATCGCGTTTAATACATACGCGCACCCGGAACGTTATATTGCTACTGGTGATTTTTAGAATTCGAAAACGTAATATACGGATTTTGCTGTTTTCTGACTCCACCATGCCTTAACAATTTCTTACTTGACCCAAGATATTTACCTCAAATCGTGTTGAATTGATGCAGAAAACACTAAGAAAGTAAAATTGTTACTGCTAATTTTTAGAATTTCAAAGAAGTAACATGCAGATTTTGCTGTTTTCGGGGTACAGGATTCCACTACGTCCTAATCTCCAGAGTAATCCTGGGCGCAGAGCGATAAAAGAAAAAAGACCACTAGATGCGTCGATCCAACTATCGTGATAGATTTGAAGGCAATTCGATTCAAAACATACTTTGATCAATTATAATTCATAGCGCAGTTCTCCAGGTGAGAACTTTTGCTTTGACCAATCCAACATGGTCTTGTAGTCAGCCCGCTGACGATTTTCATTTCTCACGCTTTGTAACTACGCATCGATTGCTGGAAATGATTATAGTGCACATGAAAATCATACGAAATTCTAAACTGACACACAGCTACATAGATGAGGGAACTACACACCTGTTGCATGCGCAAAATGGCGACAGTCAGGAAGCGGAACCGGTAGCCGATTAACACCACGCCATGTGCTTGTGTGCACAGGTATGTGGGTGTACGCTGATCGGAGGGCTGTTCCGCTAAATTTCAATCAAGAAATGCACAATTTCTCGGCAAAAGATCAGAACTATGCATACATTCACAACACTCGCACATACACAGACATATGTATGCACAAGCGTCCATACATACATTCACGTACAAACATACAAACATATACACAAATACATACATAGACATGCACATACAATCACATTCATACATAACACTTCCTACATAACAAACCATTTTTCAAACAAATTTGAAAAGCAAAAGTAATAAAACGAGAAAAAAGGGAATTTGGGGAACGCAAACAACCCGTAAATATTACATATTTTAGACGCACTGGACGTACACTAGATTTTCAGGAAGTCTGAATCAAGAGTAAAGACCGTTTAAAGAAATATTATCACCTTCACGAGAAATCCCTGAAAACGGTTACAAAAACCCCTAGGCTGAAAAGCACCAAGCTTGTCGGTATTACCATGCGTTTTCGCACTAAACATTAAGCAAACAAGTTGTTAACTGTATGAATGCTTACTGACTTACACCTACCTTGTGCCCTCACCGATGTAAATCTTCGCAAATTTTGCATAAAGGAAAATGAGCAGCTTCCCTAAAATGACCTACTGTTCAGTAGATAATTTGTCCATGAAAACCTTTATGCGCCCCACGTGGCAACCATTCGTATTTGGGGGCCAAATTTGAAATGTTTAAGTTGTACTCGCACAGGAATTTTCCATTAAAATTTCAGCTTCCCAGATTCATAATGATTCAAAACTATGAGTAGTTGTAACAAGCACAATGTGATTATTAATGTTATTATTACTGCC